AATTTAAGTTTTTCCTAAAATTTAGGGCTTCAAAATTAATTATTTTATATATTAAATACGTCCTTATTTAAAATAGGTAATCCTAACCACAAACATACTTTTACCACGCTTGTTTTCCCGTTCCTTTTATTAATAAGAGATAATGTGCCTATTATATTTTTAACTCTAGAATATTTAATAAACTATTATTAATGTATTAATGTTTACCTACAAGAAAAGACTAATTTAAAACTAATAATTTTTTTCATTTCAAACTTGATCTTTATAAACAAAAAAGAAAATCTGAAGTACCTTCAAATTAATGTTAATTATTATAAAAATACTTTGTTTAATAAGTCATTTAAATATTTTTTATAAATTTTAGAAGTTTAAAATTAATAAAACTTTTGTTTATTAAATTTTTCTTATTTGGTCTAAAAGTCCTAATATTTATAACTTTAAAATGTTAAAAATTTATTTTATATGGATCATGCACTTAATTACACGGAATGCTTATACACCAGACTGCCATTTTTTTAATTTTAATTCTAACAACTTGTTTGGATGATTGTTACCTATTATATTATATCGTATTGTTACATTAAATACGATGTTTGTTTTGATTGTTACTTAAATTTTATTGTATCGTACTATTAAATCCATCGTTACGTAACGATGAACTGTGTCACTTTATGTAATGACCGTTTTGGTGTGGTCGCGCCGTTACCTTATCTTTTCTCTCATCTCATGATTCATTATTATATTAAATGACCTTATTTTATTATTTGCACTATATTTTTATATAATAATTTTAACCTGTATCATAAATTTTTTGTAATATAGCAAATATATTTTTCATATTGTTGGTGCATGATATCATAAAACGACGACAAACAATACAATCTATCCAAATATTATATTTGTCAAACGATACAATACAACACAGTACAATACAATACGATATGATACGATAAATTATGAAACGATGCGTAACGACCATCCAAACAACCTATAAGTCATTCTTTGGAGTAAATATGTCATGGATGAGTCTTCTTTCAATTATAAATTCTCTCACAAACTTGCCTTAGTATCCTTTTAAATATTTTTTATTTTATTTTCATTGCTATTTAAATTGATTTGTGATCATATGAAAGTTGTAGATTATTAGTTGGCTGATTATATATTTCAACTTCTATCCTTCAGCACTATTTAGATTTTTACAGACTTGTTCTTTCTGAAACTGAAAAGGAAGCATGACAACTTGTGAATTGAAAGTTATGATATTATTAAACTGAAATAAATTTTCAGTTGAATTATTGACTTATGATTGAGGATTTTTACGAGACCTTTATTTATTGAGTTATTATACACGATTAACATATATGATCATCTTCAAAAACTTATACTTTTATTTTATTATTTAAATATAAATTTTAAATAAATTAATACTTATTGAGATATAATACATCTGCATGCGTACTTTGAGACCAGTATATATATATATATATATATATATATATATATATACACACACACACACACACACATATATATATATGGCGAAATGGCTTCTTGGCTACTTAAACATGTACCAGTTTGCAAAGCCGATATATAAACCTACAGTTTTCCCATTTGAACACTCCAATTTGACGGAATAAGTACTAATAAACCACTTTGACCATTAACTATGCTTGCCTGGCAGTGACATAGATGATGCAGACAAAATACGTGTCAATCACACAGAAATGTGCGTGAATACAATAATTTGACCAAAGAAAAAACTATAATGAATAGGAAAAAAAATTAAAAAAATGAAAAAGAAAAGGGAAATGACCCCTAGCTTGTCAGTACTTATTTTCGCCCTCTTTCTTCTCTTCAACTTAAGCAGAGGATAGAGAGCATCACAGAGTTTAATTCCGGCCAAATTCGAATTTTTTCTTTGGTCTAATCATGACCATATTGGTGTTGAGAATTTGATTCAGTATAAGAGAAAGAAAGAACAGTAAATAAAAAAAGAAAGAATAAGATATGGGAAGGAAAAGTGGTGGGTAAATGGAGAAGAAGGAAGCTAGGTGAGATCAGAAGTGTGAGGTCTTTTTCTTCTTTTTCCTTTTTCTGTTTTTAATTTGTAACTTATTTTTTGCTGATTTAATATTTAAAAATGGGACCCACAAATAACACATATCAAGTAATAAACAATTTAGCATATGATATGTTGTACATGTCAGCATAATTGATATACACGCTCTGCTAGATGTCAAGTTGTGAAATTAGAGTGTTCAAATGGAAAAACTATAAATTTATGTATGAGAATACACGTTTAAGTGGCGTAGAAATGGCGTGGGGTAGCCACTGTTTAAGCTGGTATTTACTCTTTATCCAGCATTTTTAATGCTTAGCAATAGTAGCCACTAGTCTATTAAAATTAATATGAAAAGACTGTGTTACCCTTTCTTCCATATCTTTTCCCAAACGGAAATGCAGTGTATTTATACTGTTTCATTTCCGCATCTAAGGTGCGCAATCGTGTATTCGGAACCTCACCTTCACCCATTGGTAAGGAAGGTCAACGAGAGCACCAAATGGTACGAACTTCTATTAATGCTACTGAATGTTAAATGCCTTTGGTTATAGTTCTTGTTGATAAGCTAAACAAGTATGAAGAACATAAGAGAACGATTACAAAAGCAAAAGGAGAATGGGGAGAGGTTCCAGATTTTTAAAAAAGATTAAGATATGACGTTGTGAAAATAAGAAAAAGAGTTATGAGTAAACAAGAAATGCAATTCCTTCCTAGAAGTTAAGGACATGTAGTCCTGAAGTCCTAAAGTTAAATTCAAAAGTTAAGGACATGGTCCTGAACTTAGAGTTTCAAGTTCAAAAGTTAAGGAAATGTAGTCTTGAAGTCTTAAAGTCAAGTTCAAAAGTTAAGGACAGACAGTCCTTAACTTACAGTTACAAGTTCTAAAGTTAAGGACATGCAGTCGTTAACTTACAGTTACAAGTTCAAAAGTTAAGGACAGACAGTCCTTAACTTTGATTTCCAAGTTCAAAAGTTAAGGATAGACAGTCCTTAACTTATAGTTACACGTTCAAAAGTTAAGGACAAGCAGTCCTTAACTTACAGTTACAAGTTCAAAAGTTAAGGACGCTTGATCTTGAAGTTTGAGTTCCAAGTTCAAAAGTTAAGGACATGTAACCTTGAAGTCCTGAACTTAGAGTTCCAAGTTCAAAAGTTAAGGACATGTAGTCCTGAACTTAGAGTTACAAGTTCAAAAGTTAAGGACATGTAGTCCTGAACTTAGAGTTACAAGTTCAAAAGTTAAGGGCATGTAGTCCTGAAGTCCTGAACTTAGAGTTCCAAGTTCAAAAGTTAAGGACATGTAGTCCTGAAATCCTGAAGTTAAGGACATGAGCAGAAGAGTATTTTCGTCCGGACAGTTAAAGTTTATTAAAGTAGTGGCTAAAAACTAAAGATATTTTAAACGATGGCTTAAAAGTAAATACATGTGTTATTAGTGGTCAACCGTGCACATCCCCTTGAGTGGATTTATTGCGCTAGGAAAATAACATAGAGCGGGGCAATCTAACTGAAATTATCGCCCCATACTCGGCCCGCTGCCGTCAGCCCGAACAGTTGCGAGGGAAATTGAAATCGTTCAAATCCCCCAAATTCCCCACTCCCCCCTTTTTATTTTCCCACTTCACTTCTTCTCTTCCCCAAAACTCACCCCCTACCCCCGCCGGAAACATCATTTCTACGCGGCTCAGCCTCTCCCGGAAGCCGCAGATTCCCCCCTATTGGATTTAGGGTAATCACAGATGATTTGGAACTTGTACGATTCTTAGGTTTTGATTAAATCTTAGGTAAATGGCTATTGTTTCACTGCCGTAAATCAAATGAATTCCAATAAAAAGCTTATAAAATATGTATATTACAATATATTAACATCACTTATGTGATTTTACTGATTATAATATTTGTTGACCATTTTTTGGTATCTGATTTCTATGTTTTTCTTTTGATGTGTGATGTCTGAAGAAGCTATTTTAGTTAAAGTTAGAGAAGATGGCGAAGGTGGCTGCTGCGGGTCCCGTACATCCATCAAATGCACTTAAGTTTGGTGGGGGTGGTGGTTCTAAGGTCACTACCACCACAGTGAAACGAAAAACTCCATCTGAGTTACGCGTGAGTACCTCTTTTCCCGATTTATTTTTAATCAGCTTTTTAAATATGAAAGTAGAATTCTTTATGGCTATATATGTAATTTAAATGAGATGAACGTAAGAATGGGAGATTATGTGATTACTTTGTGGGTGAAGAGAGCATTTCTAGTTAGGCCTAGTATGTAAAACCTCACTCACTTGTCCATCAATTGGGCCTTGTATGAGATGATTATCTTTATTTATTTAGAAATAATTTAACTTTAAATTTTTCATTTACCTTTAATGAGATGAGTTAGCCACACGAATATTTATGCCATGTTTTAGTTCACAAGTTTCAAAAGTATGTCTTTAAACTCTGTGCCTAGTCAAACTAATCACATAAAATGGAAGATGGAGTGGTTAGTAACCTCTTTACCTGTATTAAAACCAAGATTTAACTTATATTCACTTACAATATAAATTTTTTTTTACATTATACTTTGTACTCTGCATCTTAACCTACTTATTATAGCAAGTTATTTATTTAATTTTCAAGCTACCAGACTAGACTTATTGTGGATAGTCACATGTTGTAGTGATCATAACCTAATTGTATAAAATAGTTTTACATTATCCATGTAAGTGCACAAAAGTTAAACTCTAAACATTATTTCATTCTTCCATTGCACTATCCATATCAGTGCATAGGGCGCATTGCTTTTATTTTGAAAGAAACTCTTACAATATAGTTGAAATTAAACATATTGGTTAATTTACAATTAAAATTTGACAAAAAACTATCTTTTTTTTTTTTTTTTGAATTTTGTAAGTAGAACAAATCTCTCAATATGGGCATCCATGAGCATCTTTCTCTACAACCACCAAACACACCACACCCTTGTAGCTGTGAGCACTGACAATACCTGAGGCCTGATGCACCACAATTGAAGGATATCTGGAGAAGTAATTGAATGAATGTTACTTCTCTAATCTGTACTTGCTTTCAAAAGCAATCCTGCAAACATCCATTTCTCTGTTTAGATCATATATTCTGTGAGGAGAAGTTTCTGGAAGGAGATGGGTTCATCTCCAGCCATTACAATGGAGAATAAGGCTGCTTGCATTTAACTTATTGGTGCAGCTGTAACAGGGATTGTGCATGTCATCTGAGATTGTTTATGTGTCCCCAGGGAGGGATAAAGGGATAGAGGGGTGGTAAGAGAAAATGGTTCGGCAGCATAATTTAATGGGGAATATCTTCTGGTTTGTGTACATGTGTCAGCTGAGGGAGGATGAAGAAGTTAGAGTTGCGTATTATTTCCAGAATTGGTTTTTCGAAAGTCAATCAAAGAGCGTAAACATTTAAGTTTAGCTAGCAAATCAAAGAAAAGGAAAATATAAATGGTCGCTTAAATGATTTAACATTACTTAATTTGATGTGCATTCAAACTATTGATAAATGGTTACCTTTTCCTTCCAATTTTAAGCGTAAACTGGAGTGCAATGAAAGTTGAGTAATTGCTTTGGGGTGGTTGTATTCTTTACATCAAGTAAGTTCTACTTTCAAAGCATGACTAACTTTCTCTTCTCGTGGTATGATCAATTGAGATGCTCACTGTATAATCTTGTAGTGCTATATGCAAAAGAACGTGCCTTAGCTCATGTCATGTTTTCATTTCCGGTCTGATCTTGCGGACATACATGCGATATTTATGTTAGTCATGTGAAGATGGTGTGTGATTTTCACATGTATTGCCTTTTTAAAGTACTTTTATTTGTTAATACAAATGGTATATATGGAGGTGCGTATTGGCTTTCAACATACGTGAATGACATAGTAAAAGCTCGCTGGGGGCATGCTTAGCCTGAAGTGTGCATCATAGGCCCTTGGTGGCTTTGCTTATACGGCACATTGGTGCGGGCACGAGGACATTAAGGCGTGTGCCTCATCGCCCGTAGGCTTTGTCTTGAAGAGTGCACACTAGGCAGTAAATATAATTGCCAAGTGAATTTTATTTGTTAAGGAAGCGATATAAATGAATATGTTGGTGATTAAGAATAATATAAGAAAGTTAGTATAGATAGTCATGAAATGTGACTTGGAAAATCTATATTGCATCTTTGTAGGTCTAGTAAACCTTGGCGCTTTTCTTCACTTTTGCCTTTGACACACTGAATATGACAGGGAGAGCAATTGAAGAGAAAGAATACTACGCAACTTGTGGATGAATCATCAGCCCCAATTGGTGGCTCTATGAGGTAATTTTTGTTTCCATTTCTCTTATAACTTTTTAAGTGCAACTAACAAAGTCCATTCACTTGTTTGAAAGCAATGGTGTTTTCCCTGGGCCCAAGAGATCTGATGTATCGAAGAACCCAAGATATATTGATACTCGTGTGGACGAGCTATTTCCTGTCTGAAAAAACAGCATCAGGCTAAATTTGATTTCGAGGAAAGAAAATGTCAAGGTTAGTTTACTTATTGTCGCGGTACTTTTATTTGGAATCTATGTAATTCAGCAAATGCTTCGACCGACTTCTTTTTGTGTTTTCCCTCACTAATTAAGTATCTTTATTTCTTCTCTCTGGCAGGAATGCAGCAGAGCAAAGTGGTAGTATTAAAAAATCTTCTGTGCCTTCAGCATTTCTTGCTGAGAATCAACAACAATTGAAATGGTAATTATGTAGAATAGTATTAAATATTTGTAGGAATGTATTGTCTGTTATATCTTCTTTCTGCTCATTTAATGATTTTTTCATATATTGTCATTAAAAGCCCAGAATCCTTTCTTGCTTCAACTGTAAGTGGAAAAGATTGTGCAACCAAAACTTGTAGCACAAGTCAAAGGTGCAATGAAAATACTTTCCGCAGCGTCACTGAGCTGTCACTGGGAGGTGTAGATGCACATGGCTTGTCTACTATTGATATGGTACTTACTATTGCCAGCATCTATCCTCTTTAATTGCTCTGTATACTTTTTTTTTTCACCGGTCTTTATACTTAGATAAAGCTAAGGATTAACCTTTTATCTTCTATTGATAGGATAAAGCCTTAAAAGGACTCGCTACCCATGAGCATCAAGTTGCTTCTGCTAAAATTGCTGAATCCTCTGAACCAGATGGTGGTTCAAGGTCAAAAATTTTCTCCTCAGAACTCCATGTCCCATGTAAGATGACCCCGTTGGATCTGACGGTGAAAACTAATATACGAGTTGTGTCTGCATCTTCCATCAACTGGTGAGCGATGACTTGATTGATTTGTTATATAATGCGTCATTTTAATATCGACGCATGTCTACATTTATTTGTTGGAAAAACTGTCCATATGCATTGCATTCCGTAGTTGAACTCATGAAATGTTGAGCTCCTGTTACAACTTATAAGGAATCTGTTTTTTCTTGGTTTTAGCCTGAAAGAATTCGTGCGTCTCTGGAAGTTTATTTTACCACCAACAAGGCAAGATGTTTTGAAATACCTGCAGTCCCGTTTGGATCTGGAGTTACAGAGCTTTTTTATGATATTGCTCCAAGTGTTTTAGGTTTATAATGCAGTATCTGATGTATACAATTTCTTTCCTGAGAGTTACAAGTTCTCTTAAGTTATCACATGCTAAAGTAATACTTGATGGCATGTCACTTAACTAGTGGCATAGCCATTTAACAAGTGAGAGATGTACATAACATTTTCTCTGACCAAGTGACCATGCCATGAACTGTGTCCCCCCCAAAAAAAGACAAGTGTTGCTGCATGTCTTATTACTTTGAATTGTGTTCCTCGGTGTTGTGTTTTTAAGGTTAATTGTGTCTCGTATAATCTGTAGGTTTCATAGATTGATCAATTGTGGCACCAGCAATGTGGTGGCAAGGTTTACATCCTCGAATTGTTCCACGAGTCAAAAGATGACCTGCTTTCCTGAAATGAATTCTGTTTCCCAAGCAGTTAATCATTGGTCATTGCATTCCTGGATGTATCCGCAGTCTCCTCTACCGCCTTCAGTTATATCAGCTTTAACATTGTCTGCTTCAACGGGAGGTATTTGCTGGATTCTTCTGTATAGTCCTACCTTTTGCTTGCTGTCTTTCCTCCTGACTGTAGAATTTTTACTTTTAATCCTAGGGCAACTGGACTTTTTAAGCGAAAGGCAGCTAGCATGGCAGGATTCCTTTCGAAGTTTATATTACATGCTTCGGAAGAATGTTTGCAGCATCTTCTACGGTAAGTATCATTTTTAATTACCACCTTCATGTGCCACTTATAACTGACATACAGGTTTTACCTTTTGTTCTCTTCGCATTTCATGAGACTTCACATTTATAAATAGTGGTGATTTAGGATGGACATCTGCAACTTAGAAAAAAAAGAGAAATGCAATATATGAATTCTTTATGATATTATTACTTGGTTAGGCAATTGGGTCTTACCAGTAGAGTCTCTGATATTGGTCTACAAGGAATTTTTAACACATAGACATGTACCTATTTTCAGCCTAGTTATGTTGCTTGTAATGATAGAGAAACTATTTGTAGTGATTACGGCAGGTTCTGTTTTACACGGAAGCCAGGGTTCTACTATCTATTTTTTCCTCCCTTTTCAGATGTATTTTCCGTTATTATGTGTTAATGATCATTGTTTAACTTTATTGGTTTTTGGTACTTGTGATGTTTGTTAACTCCTAGGTCTAAAGGTCTGGTGTTCAGCTTCTTGGCTTATACATACTTGCCTTTAACAGCTCTACTCTGAGACAATTTAAGAACACATACAAAAGTTCGCATTGCCATGTCCATTGAAGAACTATCCAATGGTGATGTAAATGACAGCCATTGCTACTCGCCTGTTGCTTCTTCCATGATTCTACTTATTTGCCTGACTACCCTTCTTTTCTCCCAAAGTCCAGAAAGGGTAACACCTGAATTAGATTAGATCTCTTTGGATGAGGTGATATAGAATCTAATTAACATAAAATACAAACCAATCTGATTTTAATTTTCTGTTGTAATAACTCTGTAAAACTAAATAAAGATGCAATTGTTTGTGGATACAGTTTATTGGCAGCTTAAAAGTCATTCCCTTTGTTCCATTTTATATTGACTCTTTCCTTATTAGCCTGTTTCAAAATGAATGACTTCAGTTATATAAAATGGAATAGTGAAAATACCTTTTTTTCTGCTTCATTGTAGTCATTTGAATTCTATGTATTCATGTTCTCTCTCTGTTTTTAACTTTGCAGTCTGCACTGCCCAATTTGTGGTCATGTTCACCAGTTCTTATTCTGAGGAAAACTGTGTTTGCAATGCATATATATCTCAGTCACCCCGGGGTTTCAGGTCATCACTCAAAGAACATGTAAGATGATGACTTGATGGTACTTCTTATTTTGCTTATTTCTTCATGGTATTCTTCAAGCATAGTTCGTTTGTTATCCAGCTCGTTTTGGCCTATTTGGTTTCTGCTGTTACCCTCCTGCAAAGTGCTGATACAATGCTTTTAGTTTGTGATTGTAAAAGTTGATCCTGGAGCAGCTCAGGGATGTTCTAATGAGTCACTAAAGTTTCATGTACTTGATTAGGTCTAACCTCTGTAATTTAAGCTCCCCAACAACTAGACTAGTTTTAATGATGTAATGATTTGCAAGTAATGTTAGTTTGGATTTGAATAGCATCTTATATTGCCAGATAACATTACACAAGTTATGAAACTTGGTGTGTGCTCCAGTGGAGAAGTTCCATATGTTAGTCCATAAATAGGAGCCGTAAAGCAAAAGGTGTTAAAGACAATATAGCCCCAGGACTTTAAGTGAGAAGAGAATGCATGGTGTGTAAATATTACACCACGTAACCTCTATCTGTTGAAAATTTGTTAAAAAGATAGGAAATATTTTTTTTTTCCTTTTCTAAAACCACGAAGCTGACATTCTAGCTCAGTATATTACTACGGTATAACAAGTGACAAAAGTTGGTGCCAAGTCTTTAGGAGCAAGATAGAATAACTGATCAGTGGAGTGAATACAAAGATGGACTCTTTGGCTTTCCACAGCCATTTGAGTCAAGCAAATAAAGTTGGGCAAAACTATTTGAAATTGAAGTTGGAAAATAATTATTCGACATACAAGTCCAGGGCACAACTTCAACTGTTTTTTTGAAACTGGCCAAGCTCAAAGAGAGTGCTTGTGAGTTACAAGATCTAAGACACCCCATAGAAAAAGAAAAAGAAGGGATTGTGACTGTACAAAAAAGAAAGTCTACTCCTTTAGAGAGTTTATGAACTATCTTCATCTTGAATGTTGCGCCAAAAAGCCAAAAGCCACAAAAAATTAATGATTTGAGTTGTCTTTTTAGAAGGTACCTCTTGTACAAAAGTGCGACATTGAACGTCCATATACTTGCATAAAAAGAAGGATGATTAGGAAACACTATCAGCGATAACAGTAAAGGAGGACAATTAGGATTTGACTCCTGGTTTCATTATCTCGTGTATATGCTATTTGGCTTCTTTATGTTGAACAGGTGATGGTTTTCTAATATCACTCAAGTGGTGATGCTAAAGTGCTGAATGGACATGCATTTTAACTGTGTGATTATGCATTTTGTAGCATATGTAATTTGTTAAGCTGATTATGTGTTGCAATCTTTTGTGGTGGTAGGATGTTTCTTTTTCTATGCCGCTTTGCCGCTCAAAATTGGAGGAACTTAGTACAGAAGAGCTGCTTGAGCTTTCAGAGATTGAGAAACAAAATCCGGGCCAGGTAAATTTATCATGTAGTTGAGACTCACGTGGAAAAATAAATCCGGGAGAGAAATTTGCTTACAAATCTTTGTATTAATGATGTCAGATTCTTTGACTGACTTGTCAATGCCTAGTTTTAAGAAAGGGAAAATTGTCCAAAGTATTAAAAAGGGCAGCCCAGTGCACAAAGTATCCCGCGTTCACACAGGGTCCGAGGAAGGGCGCACCTCAAGGGGGTGTGATGTAGGTAGCCTACTCTGATGCAAGCATCAGTGGCTGATTCCACGGCTTGAACCCGTAATCTGTAGGCCACACAGAGACAACTTGACCGTTGCTCCAAGGCTTCCCTTCAATTGTCCAAAGTATTCAGTATTTTTTTCGTGTTATGTTTGAGTTTTCTTTGCATTAATGAACTTAACTTTTTCAATGTGGAAATTTTGGAGTAATTATAGTGATGTATACAATTACTTTACTGCTTGCTAGAAGAACTGTCACGGTGTATTCAATAGTGGATTATTCAGTTTCCCCTTTTACCATGAAAAACTTTTTTATTGTTGAAGTATGTCAACTGCTTCCTTTAACAGCTTAAACTGCCAGAGACAAGACACTTTTATAGTTCACAACATTGTCCCCCCGCCTCACCCAAATATTTTTTGATTTTTTTTCCTTGGGCCACACACATGGAAATATTTCATTTATAGGTGATGGTAGGCTGAACTAAGGACCTTTGCTTGCTTTATATGTTGAAGTGTGTGAATAGCCTGATTTAAAAGCTTAAGTTGTAGAGGGGACATCCTTATTTATTTGTTGGTTTATAAAAATTTTTTTCCCAACTGGTGAGTTTAATGATTTATGCAGACTAGGCGGCGGGGTGCAATGTCTGATGTGGATAATAGGCCCCAATCTCTGCTGGCATTCACTAGAAATAAGAATGTTCATTCTTTATATGATTTTCTACTGAACTATAGGTAAGCTCGTAGTTGATAAAAAAGTTTAGTTGTCTTCATTCCATATCCTCCCTTCCATCATATTATGCCACAGTTTTGANTTGGGCCGAGGGTCTCCTGGAAATAGCCTCTCTGCCCCTCGGGGTAGGGGTAAGGTCTGCGTACATATTACCCTCCCCAAACCCCATTTGTGGGATTATACTGGGCCGTTGTTGTTGTTGTTGTACAGTATGAGTAGTAAGCAAATACATGGATTGTAACCGGATATACATTTGCAGTTTTGTGTTTGCTTGATTGTGATGAAGACTTTAACTGAGGGCTCAATATAACAGTGTTCTTGGTTTGCCCTTCAATGAACATTTTCTTCCTCCCAATCTTCTCCCAAGATTGGAGTCTCTCACCTTATATCCAAAGGATAATTTCGACATTTAGGGGCTTGTGCAGTGGGATAACAATCCCAATATGGTTAACCGATCAAAAAAGCAAGATAACAATCCCAATATGCTTTTTTTTTTTTAAAATTTTAATTTTGTAAATAGTAACTCCCATATTAACAATTTCATATTCCCTAAGATATTAAAAGGAACACACATATCATTTGTTGTATTGTTGATAAATCTATCTTCTTTATCTTATGCTTTTAGATAATGTGTAGCCACTCAATTCAACAGGAATACTATACAACAACAACAACAAACCCAGTTTGGTCCCATAAATGGGGTCTGTGATATGCAGGAATACTGTAAAAGAATTTTTTTTTATCATGCCAATGATTGTGCCTGTACTTGCCTCAGTGTGGCTTTATGCTTCATAAGCTGTCTTCCTCTGTTAGGTGTTTAAACAGAAGCTATCAGATTCGTGGCACTCCCCTAAAACTAGTAATAATAAATGGGTTTGTGAAATTCAAAACAAATTCATATCTTATTTTGAACTTGGAAAAAAATAGAGCATGACATTCTATTCTAGAGTTCAGAATTTGCCACTGGGGGATATGCAGCTATAGAAAATTTGAGGGCTACACCTGCTGACCGGTAGTATTATAACAGCAGCACATTTTTCTAATAGTGGAGGTTTAAAGTAAATAAGTTACTGCACTTCATTAAGTATCACTCCCGATGTGGGGCTTATTGTATCGTATCAATTTCCAGTAAGATACACCCATGATATGTCCAGGATGCCCTATTCTGTTGGTTTCCTTATTTTCCAATTTATATTGGATACAAGTACCATAAGAAAAGATGCTTGCTGCAGAACAAAGCATCACTTGTCTAAGTGTTTGACTGTGAATATAGATATCAGATACTATTTGCTTTGGCTAAATAAATGGTTGAACTATATCTATGCTTCTTGTACATAAGATAGTTAATTGAAAGTGGCATGTCGCAGTCTGCTTGATATTTGAATGTTTGTTAAATTTGATCTGTTCGTTCATAGATGAGACCTTAAATCTGTTTTACTCTTTGAGGCAGTTGAGTTTAACTAAAGATTTGCTGAATAAAACACGCAAAGACTTGCTCTGACTTTGTGATACAGGCACACATGCACGACATACACTTTCTTTTTTACAAAAACTGTTAGTGATCTAGCTCTTTTATATGCCATAAGCTATTATCTACCTATGTTTTTTAATAATAGAGAGGCTAGGCTCGAGGGATGTTCACAAAGCATTATCTGCATCTGCTGTCTTACTGTCCCAAAAGATCTTGCTTTCCACTGTTGACTAATAAGAGTAATGTCTTTCTATAAAAGATAATTTCTCAATATACTGAGTCTTAAGCTGATTATTACTTGTTATGCTACAAAAAGTAATCTCTAAATATCTTCAGTCTTGAGCTTGTTATTCCATTATCAATGTGTTCTGTCTTAAGCTGGTTATAGTGTTATCCAGAATGCAAATAGATATCACTATACCTACTCTGCAGGTCAGATGCAAGGAGGTCAGGAGAATTGATCAGGTAGCTTTTCAAGGAATGGAGTCAAATGTGCCTTGTGAGCATAATCAGCAACCATCTTCTGGGATGTGCTATAGTGTTGAAATTAAGGGTCGATACCTTGCCCCATGGGTAACCTCTGCTATATGTGATGCTTTCAGCTCTAACAGCACAAGTTTTGAGGCTAGGTATACTGTCTACAAAACACTGTTCACATGGATTATCTAGAATATATTGTTGCATGTAGTGTATTAAAACATGTTCTTTTACTGGTTGGAAGGGGATATTCCTTGGGGTGGTAAGATGTCCCAAGAGAAGTGAATGCTATCAGCAGATGATGCCCCTAAAGTAAGTTTGTAAGATGTTCTAAGAGAAGTGAAACGCTATCAGTAGATGATGCCCCTAAATAGGTGGAAGTGTTCTGCTAAGTTGATAGACGCCAAAAAAACTAAAACTGGAAAGTGCTGCTTTGTATTCCTTATTAAAAAAAGTGCTTCTTTATGTTGCATATTTCCAAGAACTTCCAGACTAATATTTTACTTGGGCCGTGGATTTGGTCTAGTGTCTTCAATATAGTGCAAGTGAGAAGATACTCAGAACTGGAGGGTTATTGAGAACTCACCAACACTCATATTTTGGAACATGAAAAACCTTGAATGTCAACATTTCATACTTGGTATTTTGGTTACAAAAGATCCACTGAAAGAACGTTGAAACTTAAATGTTACAGTGTCAAAATCCAACCGGGAGAAATCCTTCAGTAATATGAAAAAAAAAACTGCTAGTATGAAGATAGGTCTACTGTAGTGTCCAAATACTTGGACCATCCAGCTTTTGTATTTGTGTTCTGTTCAGAAGTTTTAATTTATCTTACTGATGCTGTTTTATTTTATTTATTTACTTATGATTCTTCTTTTTTTTTCTCTGGTATTTTATGGCTTTGCAGTTTTATCACAGAACCTACTTCGGTTGGCTTGAATACTTGTCTCAGTGTTAGCGGGAAATGTTCTGATCCACAAGTTTCAGCAACTGAAGCCTTGGATAATGGTAGCCTCTGTTTTGGTATCCCAAATACCAAATTGTGTGCCCAGATAAATTCTGCCTTTTTAAAGGGCGTGAAGTACTGTGGCGGTTCCTACACTGCTTTTCTTTCACCTGTTTGACATCCTGTGTTGTGACATATTCTGGGTAAATTATAAACTGGCATCTGTTTTTGCTGCAATACATCTTTCCGTTTGTAAAGTTGTTCAGTAATTGTTTGTGAGTGAACTTTATTTTGTCAAATTAATAGGAGGCACGGTTCATCCCTTATTTTTATTTGTAACTAATCTTGCTGTATAGCTGCCTTGAAAGCAAATGCAGCGCATAATTTGCAAAAGGCTGATGATTAATGCAACTACAAACTTTATGTATGCAATTGCCATTAAAAGTTCATAGTTGTCCGTGTTGATTCTGGTGATTGGGATTACTGTACTGCTGTGCATTGCAGTTGATGGCATTTACTATGCCGTTGTCTCTTGGAAACATTGCTTAGTTCCCCCTCCCCCCCTTTTCCCAAAATTTGCTTAGTTCCTCCATCCCTTTCTCTTTTTCATTTCACTGACCCCTAACCCTGAGAGATCCAACAATCATAAGAACTGAATAGCCCTTTCATTTCCTTTGTTTTTGCCCACCTAGTTGTTTGAGGGGTAGACAAGTGTACAAAGAAAGGATGGAGAATCTTTTCATTTGAATAAGTTCCTGAATCATGTCTCCGTATTGTACATTTTCCTCATTCTATTTTATGAGTTTGCGAGTTATAAGCTTGTAATGCCTGGTTCGAACCAATCTTTAGTTGTTCCATGCGCAATGAAAGACTGACCTTTCTTATTGTCATGTAGTTAATTGTAGCTGCAGGGACTATATTTTTCTAAAAATCTAGTTAAATGTGATTTTGGTTTGAAGCCATTCACTGGAAGTGTTTTCCTTCCTTTCTAGTTCTTAATTATGCGGAAATTTAAAGCATGAATATGCTCATGTAATTATCAACTGAGTATCAATTAACGAAAGAAATTTAGGAGTATGCATTCGTGAATTTTCTTTTCTGGCATTCGTGAACTTGAATGTTCAGAAATTGTGAAGCATTCTTTCGGATTAACACTGCAACTTGTACGTATAAGTTAATGGTTTTGGGTTTGCCAATCTCTATCATAGACTATTAGTCTGTTTGGCCAAGCGGGAGAAATCAACTTATTTTGAGAAGTGCTTTTGAAAAAAGTACTTTTGAAAGGAACAATGTGTTTGACTAATCACTATGAAAAGCACTTTTGAACAATAATTTGTGTTTGACCAAACTTTTCAGAAAGTGCTTTTAAGTATCAAATTACGTATAAGGACATGAGTAGATTTACTTAATAGTTAATATTATAAGTAAATAAATAATCTCAAAAATTTGTTATTACATGCAATAATTAAATAATTTTATTTTATTTAACTAAAATATGAAAATAAAATTAAAAGTACTTGATTCTTTTAATATAAGTTAAATATATTAAAATTCATTCAACAAATATAAAAGCGTTTACCCCTAAACTCACTATATATTAGAAAGCTATCCTAAAAACAAGAAGAAATACTTATACATTAATATACTAAGTATTAGGTTTAATGGTTATTTTGGTATATACTATATTTTATTAAGGGTATTTTAGGTAAGAAGAAAAGTCAAAACTGCTTCTGCCTTTGAGAAGAAACTACTTTTTTCTGCTTCTCCTGCTTTCGCTTCTTCCAAAAGCACTTTTTTCCCCAAAAGCTTGGTCAAACACCTCAAGTTAGGAAAAAAAATACTTTTTGGCAAAAAAACACTTTGCCTCTTGAGAAGCTTGGCCAAATAGGCCAATAATATCTAAGTTGTTGTGTCTGAGCCGTTCATAGCCAATAGTATCACAGCGACAGCAACTTCAGAATGTCTTTTGCACTGGAATGGCTATACCTTGAGGAGAAGTCAATAATTTGTTACTCCTTTTTATCCTATTTACCTGTCACTTCAACATTTTGCATATTCATTAACAAAACATTAAAAATAACATTTATTTAACTAAACTGCCCTTATCCTTGATCTCTCAAATTTTTTTACTTCTTTCTAGAATATTTATTGTGGTAAAGGTAAAATCAGAAAAAATAAATTAAAATTTTCTTAATTTTCTATAACGAAAAGTATTTTGAAACAATTATATTTAGCAAAAGTGACTGGAGTAAATAGGAGACCGGAGGGAGTACTTTTATCCATTCTATGATTCTATCCAATCAATGTCTGATTTTTGGCAGTTTCAGGTAGCAAGGTTTATTTTGAAGGTTTCTTTGGGTTTGACTTCTAATGGACTAATAAGGATTTCACTTGACCCCTCCCCATCCAATTGGGGGTAAACTAGGTAACAAACGAACAACTCACAAATGGTTTTCCCAAATTGAAAGTTTTACTTCACTCTCTCTTCCAAAATTTTCCACAATTTCAGTAACAAAATTAACTGTTCAGGAAAGAAACACGCTTCAATTGGGAAAACAAATGGAAAAATTGCACTCATATTCGATTTAATCAATCAACTATGTCCCAATCACGAAACAAAGCATTCATTTCTGATTGAGACCCTAAAAAAAAGTTATTCACAAATCTACAATATACAGAAGTAAACTACCTAAAGTGAAATTCCAACAGACCAGGAGATCTAAAAGCCATATGGCTAAGGAACACCTATAATTGTGCCGACTGTTTCAGCAAGATGCATTCAATTCCAACAATCAAGTGAAAAGAACTTGCACGAAGTAATCCAGTATTCAAATTAGCAGCAGCAAGGCATATACGGAACAACAAATCTTGACTAAAATCGATTCTGCATTCATGCCAATGAGTACAAGAGATTCGGAAGTCGATGTGGACCAATGGGATTGGTGTTACACCTGTGTACTTGAAAGACATCTCCATTGGCCAACACGAGGTCCCTTGTCTAAATGCATTAGCAAACCCGCATTGTTGGCTGACAAACCAAACAAGTACCTAAACAAGTAACATGATGATTTCAGTGCCAATTATCTAGCTCAAACTAGAACTTCTAGCAGGCAAAATTAGAAACAGATTTTGCTATCAAAGGAGAACAATATGAGCAATATGATAAAATAGTAGTACTAGCTTTCTAATGATCAACTCACTTGGATCGACGAGCTTTCCTTCTCCACAAGACGAAGGATATTATCCACTGAACAGGAAAAAACAGAAACTATATCAGCAATTATATAGCAGAACACATGACACAGGAGAGCCAAAAACAAACCAAGGGGAATTAGAGGGTAGGGAGCAAAGTGTGGCAAAATTTAATAGCAAAGCGCAATAATAGCTTCTCAAACTCTTCTCCATTCCGCACAGAAAGAAAAAGAAGAAAGATAAGCATAAACAAAGTTCACGGAAATAAAAATAGAATACAAAAGTTTACACAGGTTAGCTATGATCTTCTGACCCAAAACCTTTACTCTCCTTAGATAGAAATCACTAAAACACAATGCTCATCCAAAATAACCAGCGAGGCGAGCTGCGAGTCAAACATACAAGTCGACATGGATCAAACAAGTAGGTTCGATAAAAGAGCTGCCTGTCATAAAGCATCTATCTCAGTGATCTCAAATTGAGATCAAATGTAATCTCGAAGGCAGATTTCATAGAAGACTCCTAACAAGTTGCTGGATCGAAGTAGTACATTATACATCTGCCCCAGCAGCAGAGGGGCTAAGTAGTTCCGCTCAAAATTTGTGTTCACACTGAGCTCTTCTTGGATAGGCTCAATATCTTACTTAAACATAAGCTCTAGAGGTCCATCTCCGTTCCAAAAAGTTAAAAAGTTTATCCAAATAAATAAACCAAAGGGTTCTTAAATAGACCAACTATGAGTCACACTAATTCTAACCAACCAAATGAAGCCAAAATATATCCCACCAGCTCATGCCAAATGGAAGTAATGCAAGGAATATTATCAACCCAACTCTAGATTTCCCACAGTTCATGCTCAGCAGAAAAATATTTATCTCATCATTCTATTTCTTGGAAAACTGTCACTGTGAGTTTGCTCATATTTTCGGCCCCAAGATTGAATAAAGGAGGAGAGTTACGGTAGGTTGAAGCCGACGTAAAACTAATCTATTTATGATGAACCCTCACAATATTGAATACGGCCTAAAGGGAGTGACATCGATAGTAACCATTCATATAGTCGACTCCAACTAGCTTGGGTTGGGATTGAGGCATAGTGGTTATATTCTATGTTCAGAAAGGCTCATCCTATTACACACATAAACTGCAGAGTAAGTGAATAACCAAATTTTGTGAGAGTTAGCACTCTTCCGAAGCCTCACCCAGTAGGAAACAACCAAATGGCAAGACAGATTCTCACAGAGAATAGTCAGAGCATCAGTAAACCGAAAAAGATTACTGTACTTGATTGAAGTACAGGAGTGAACGTTTGCTAAAATATGCCTAAAACAAAGTTCTCCCTCCATAACATTTATGTGAAGGTGTTTCACTGAATACAAAGTTTAAGAAATAAAGGGACTTTTGACACAAGCTAAATATACACAAAGTATCAAAAATTGTCCTTGCGATATAATTAATGAGTTGTGAGAATTCCATGTCTTTTCATTTTCTCTATCCTAGTAACAGAATAATCTTTTATATAAGTAGGTCCAAACAAGTCATGTCATTAAGGGTAAAATTAGAATGCTAACTTTTAATAGTTTCAAAACAGAGAAAGGTATCATTCTTTTTTGAAAAGACTAAAATAAAAATGTCACGCAAAATGAAACATAGGGAGTATGATAAATAATAATTTATCGATTGGTATTCCTAGCCTGGTAGCCATGTCATAATAATAACTAAATCAGGCTATTATACATTAAAAATGCTTAACATCATATACAGGGACAATATTTTGGCATTTCTTTTTCTTTTTTTATCATGTAAGAAATAGACAAACAAAGTTGGTAAAACTGAGATGAAGCGAGGTAAGAAGACTTATGGTAAAAATATCTGTTAACCTGGGACTGTAACCTAAATAGCTGAGATGTAGTGGTTCAAAGCAATGGAAATTAAGGAAGATAAAAAAGAAGAGGTAACGTCTGGAAAACTGGCTCAGCATACAGGAAAATGTAGATCCAGAACATTTCTAGGAACCTAATCAGTATCCTTCCTATTTAGACCATGATGGGAAATCATCATTACTGATAGCATATGCATCAAAGAGATGCCGCCTTAATAACAATAATATCTTCCACACGTATAAAATTTTATGAGCTTCCAAATATAATAGTTCGAATTGAAATTGCTGATGTAATCAGTGAAATGGCCTCCTTTCCTTTTTTCAAAAACAGAGAAATCCCGAGCGCCAGTGGCGCACGAACTCGATGGATGATGGGCCTGCTTCTCTACCCTTCACTTAGATACCAGACTTTTGTCTACAGAAGTGTTCGAACACGTGATGCACACATAATCCACACATCACACACTGCATTCTTACCATTAGAGCAGAGCCTTTGGGGCAATGATATGGCCTCCTTTCAGCTTAACATAAGATATTACAGTTTTATTCCAGAAAATGATTAGGAAAAGACTTTTCAAAGTATCATGATATAACAGTTGCTCCTACTGTGCTTGCAATCATCTAGAACAGCTTTTAACATAGGACACATATCATATGCAACACATACTTTGATATGTGAAAAAGAATTTATTGAGCACAGAAAATGTATAATCACAAGTAACATGGTACCTTGAATATTGAAATGAATGAAAAGCTCGTGACTACAGATGTCTTCCTCACAGGCGTCCTCCTTGCTGGAGACATTTCTTTGCACAACTGCTGAGCAATTTCTTTAAGCAATATCAGCTGTGCTTTATCAGTCCGCATAGAAACGATAGCCTGCCTCATTGATTTCCGATCAGCCTCGAGGGCCTGCAGCCTAAGGTACAGCTTCGTGACCTCAGGATCCCCAAAATCAGTATGATTCAGCGAATCTCTTGGGGTATGCCCATCACCTATTCCTGCAGAAGCCTTGGGCTCTGAGGTACCATTATATCCAGAACCCTGATGTATAGAGTCAATTGTCTACACTCTGTCGTTCATTTCACCTCCAACTTCAGATGACTCGTCCACCTTCCTCAAGTTCGCATACTCCTCTGTTTGCGAATTTTCTGCTTTTCCAACACTTCCACCGAACTTCGTAGAACCTGAGATAAAATCAGAGCTTATTTCTTTATTTGTTACAGGAGGGAATTGAGCGACTACTGTTTTTTCAAGGACATCGTTGTTAAATACTTCCCCATCAGTCTGACTACTTGGCATCAATTCTAACTGATTGATCCTCTGATCCAAATCTCGCAATTGATCACATCATCGTGGGGTCTCTCCGAATGCATATTTCTCAACGTCCACAACCTCATTATCCATCTCTGTGTACACGTGGTTCTCATTAATAGTGCATTTCAAGGGAGGGTAATCATACAAAGAAATTTCAAAACGCTCATCGATGCCCTCACTGACACCATCATTTCGGCCATAACGAACCTTCTCTTTCTCACCATCATCCTCAACCTCAGACTCCAAGAACCCATAACTCAACATCCTATGCTTATACATTTGCACCTCACAAGTCAACGACTGGATCGTCTCCTCCCTCTTATACAACAAATCCTCCAACGCCATTATCTCCTGCTGATCATGCGCCATTTTCTCCTCTGTGAACATCTTGAACTGCCTAAACTCCATTTGTGACTCGGCTTTTTCCCTCTGCAACCTCAAGATCATCGACATGGCTTCGTTAGCAGCCGAGGAAGCCGCATTCCTCTCTTCCTNGAATATGAGTATGAATAAGTATTGAAACTCTTGGTATGGTGATTGAAAGCCATAAGTTCCCAATTTAATTACATAACTATTATAGAGATTGAAAGATGATTATTTGATGAAAGTTTGTTGGTTGGGTATGGATGGATGGTCATATATGTGATGTTGGAAGTTATAAATTGGTTAATCATGTTGGTGGGATAAATTGTTGATGAATGGTGGTAGTTGGATGAACTAATTATATGGTGATGAGATGTAGAGATTTATGCCTACAAGGTATTTGATAATATGCCTAAATGGCTTAAGTTATGGAATTTGTTACTAATATTGGTTCCATGGGATATTAATATTGTAGATTGAAGGTTCTTAGTATTGTGGATCACTAAGGGGCGAAATTAAGGTATGTGAGGCTAACTCTCTATGTTTGGGAATGTTAATGATTCTCCATACATTACGTTTCTTTTTACAACGTTACTAATTGCCTCAAAAATATAGTTAAGCCTAGTTCCTTGAATAGTTACAGAACTTCTATTCTCTAGCTTTATAACTCGTTCATGACTTTCACTCTGAACGTTGTGAGCTCAGTGCATATTCAATATAGACTTGGGTTTGATGCCTCCGAGTCTCAGTACAGATTACTCAGCATCATAAGCAATTGAAGTTTCAGTGTTCATAATCAGTTCAAGAATACATGTCTCAGTCTAGTCCCATTCAGTATTCCAGTATCATATAACTCAGTGTGATTCAGTATCATGTGTTGCGGTATGATTCTCAGTTCCTAATTTTGAATCCCTGAATGTTGAACACCTGTATTTGGGCTTGAGGGCGTAGTTTATGCTTTGTGCATGTTTGGGCATGAGGCTGTAGTTTATGTTTTATGCATTTTGGGCCTGAGGCCATAATGATGTATATATATACTTGGGCACGAGGCTGCAGTTTGTGCACATATATATTGGGCCTGAGGCCGTAGTTTAATATTCAGATAAACATGTTATTCATCATTCAGAAGAGGGAGTATTCATATCCTTACTTGCTTTATTCAGTTCAGTTATCAGCTATCATTTCAATCATCAGTTATTAGTTATTATCTCAGTTATCATTTTAGTTTCAGTTTCAACAGTTATAATTTCAGTTATCAATTATCAATTCCCAGTTATCAGCCCAGTATTAGTGTCACCATTTATAATTCTTTCTTTTAGTTGCTTTACATACCAGTGCAATTCAAATGTACTGATGTCCCTTTTTGCCCGGGGCCTGCATCTCACGATGCAGTATTGATTTATAAGTAGATGATTCAGAGTGCTAGGATTCTCGTACCAGCTATTTGGTGATCCCCAATTCTTTCAAGACATTATCATTACTTTACAGTCTTTTTGTATTTACATACAGTAAGTGTTTTCAGTACTCAAATAGAGGCTTCATAGACTAGAGTAACAGTTAGACAGAGTCACAAGTTTTTGTGTTAAGCAATGTTGTCTACAGACATGTTTCAGACTTGTATTAGTGTTTCCATACTTTGATTTTTATCCTTCAGAATTTCAGTATATCAGCATGTGTTAGTTTATCTTCCGCATTTAGTATGTTATGATATCACATGTTGATTCAGCAAGCCAGTTGGTTTGCTCAGTCATATGTAGTCAGGCACCGAGTGTCGTGTTACGTCCAGGCCAAAGTTTGGGAAGTGACAAAGCTTGGTATCAGAGCATTAGGTTCAAGTGTCCTAGGGAGTCTATGAAGCCATGTCTAGTGGAGTGTCCTTTATATGTGTGTGCCGGCCATGCATATAAATGGTTAACTACCAAGACATTCAAGATTGTCTCATTTCTTTCTACTCTAGATCGTGCCATGAAACTTAGAGCAATAGGTAACCTTCTGTTCCTATCAAATTCAAGACGTATCGAATGCCCATGTGTAGGAAAACCCAAGGTGCTAGCGAGGATTATTGCCTATTGGGGTATAATTATTCAGTACATGTTGGTAACAAGTGAGACTTAAGAGGATGTTGAAAGTGAGATACAATGTATAGTAGTACATATTAGTACATAACCTTATTAGAAAGTATGAAAACAGTCATCATGTCTTATGGTTATCAACTTACCTCAATTACCGGTTATACAGTCTTTTAGTTAGCGGGTCTATGGTTATTCAGTATGCTAGTTACTAAAACCCCGAACGCATGTTAGAACCCGAAGAGTTTAAGTTAAACCCGAAGTACAGTGGCAGTGGGAAAAAAATCAGCTAGTAGTAAGGGATAAAACTACAAAAGAATAGCCTTTAGGAATTATCAAAATGTGGTTTCCCCAAGATTGACCGTGTGAGAAAAGTTAAATTATTAAGATTGTGTATGATAGTTGTGAATATATTAGCTTTACGTTATGTAAATAATTTATTTCTTCCTAGTAAGAAAGATTTCTCAGAAGTAAGTTGGAAGATGAGTCGTCATTAACGTGGAGTGCAAAGAATTGCAGAAAATAAGGAAAGTTATTTGGATCCCAACAAAAAGAGAAAGATCTGCAAGTATAAGACCATTGGTCTAAGGAGTGATGTGAAAATTTTCAGTAAGTCCAGTTATATATTTGAAACCGAATAATTAGCATGGGATATGAAAAAGAAAATTAGTTCGGTAGTGAGGGAAAATCATATAATTACCACCAGGAATATGTCTAGCATGTGTAAGAAACACAAAGAGAGTAGATTGAACACCGAGCTTAGTTATTGATGATAAAGTGATCACAGAAAAGCTATAAAATCATGGCCATTTATGTGTTATGGGGGTAGTTCCATTGCACGAGGCTTTAAAATTTGGAGTACATGTCAAAAACTTAGTTCACAATAACACTATAAGTGTTTTCAGGAAGTGCTTAAGAAGATAATCAAGTGTGGGAAGTATAATTCATGATTGAGGTAGATAAGAGAACTCTGGTGAAAGAAGTTCACATCTTAGCCCATCTAGGTGTTCAATTTGCGTACTCCAAAGATAGTGGAGTTGTTGTCTAGAATATGACTTGTTCCTCCTTAGTAGCCGAAGTGAAGGAGAAATAGTTTGATGATCCCTACTTGTTGTAGCTGAAAGGGGGGATTCACAAGCATAAGATGATGGCTTTTAAACTAGGGGAGATGGTAGTACTTTGAGGTACCACGATAGATTGTGGGACCTATTGAAGGAGGAAAATGTTAGAAGCCCATAATTCCAGGTATTCTGTCTACCCTGGTTCCCCAAAGATGTATCATAATCTCAAGGAGATTTATTGGTGGAACGACATGAGCCACTTCTTCACAAAATTTGTGGCCAAGTATATGAATTGCCAGCAAATGAAAGTCGAGCAGCAGGAAACCAAGTGTTTATCTCAGAATACACATATTCTTTAGTGAAGATGGTAAATATGGACCTTATAATAGGATTATCTCACTCATTAAAAAGCATGATTTGTATGGGCGAAAGTGTAGCTCATCGATTGACTGGTTCGAAGTTAGCAAAGCAGAGTAGTTGAGACCAAATTTGGTCCATCAATCTATGGAGAAATTTAAGTTCATTCAAGAGAATTTGAAGACAGCTCAGAGTCGCCAAAAGTCCTATTCGAACATGCAACATAGAGACCTAGAGTTTCAAGTTGAGGATTGGGTGTTTATAAACGTTTCGATTATGAAAGATGTTATAAGAGTTGGGAAGAAAGGAAAGCTCAATCCCTGATACATTGGCCCATATAGGATCCTATGAAGCGGGTAAGTAGCTTATGAGTTAGATTTTCCACCATAATTAGCGGTTGTACACCAGTATTTCAAGTGTAATGTTATAACAATCAAGTTTCCAGTATTCAAATATCATGTCACGACAATTGTGTTCCCAGTATTCAGATCTCATGTTAGAACATTCAAGCCAGTTCAGTACTCAGATACTCATGTCAGTCTAGTACTCAGATATTCATGCCAACTTAGTACTCAGATATTAATGTCAGTTCAGTGATCATATGTTCACGTCAGTTCAGTACTCGATTATTCGTGCCGGTTTAGTATTCATATATCCACGTTAGTTTAGAATTCATGTATCAATAACAGACAAGTATTCATGTATATTTTTCATGTTATGCATATTATGATGCCTATGAAGCTAGTGTTATGCTCTGTTAGCTGGTAGATATTTTGGAGAAATATCGAAGGTAACTAACCTTCTCATTCAGACCTTGTTGATACCCAATTTTTTTCTTATATTTTTAATATGCAAAATACTTTCAAAATAGCATGAATATGCATATATAAGTATGTCCCAAGGTTTTAATATTTTTCTCTTAATAGTAAGGGTTTTTAAATCAATTTATTGCCTTATTTTAGCAAGAAAACTCCAATAATTGTTCCCAAAATTATCATTTTGGTGATTCATCTATTGGATTCTCATATTTGAATTAAATATAGCTAACATATATTTTTGCATATGTTTTTATAAATTTATTTAGTATTTTTAAAGCTAAATTGCACGTAATTGCGATATTAACCTTTTTAAGATTTAATGGCGTTTATATTTATAAAATTAACTTCAGTATTTTTAATTGGATAATTATGTATTATAAATCATTTTGACGCTTTCAATTTATTTTTGGAAATTAATTTACTATTTTTTATAATTTTAAAGGAAAAAACTGGCTATTTAAATAATAGCCCAATTCGTTTCAATTTTAGCCTAAAATCTGACCCCTAATTGGACCCCAATTTCAGCCCAATTTTAATTAAAACCCGACCCAGGCCCCAATTACACCTACCCGACCCAAAACCTTATGAAATCCTGGCCGTTGATCAAAAAGATCAATCACCCTCATCCGTCCTTACCGTTTTTAACCAAACGACCCCCCAATACCCCTCTCAGTCCTCACTCATCTCTATATCTATACTTCTAGTTCTCTCTAGAACCTTCCCTCTCCTCTCCTCTCCAATGAGTTCTGTTCATCTTCTCCGGCCACCTTCTAACCTAAATCTATGGTGGTCTCACCACCCACCAAGCCACCTATGGCTC